TCAAACTTAAGGGTGCCTCTACACTGTAGAAATAATGCAGTTTGACACTACTTGAACTGCTATTGCTCCATCCTACAGAATCCAGGGATTTGTAGTTTGATTAGGCACCAGCATTCTTTTGCAAAGAAGACTAAAGACCTTGTAAAATAACAAATCCCAGTATTCCATAGGGTGCCATTATAACACTTAAAGTGGTGCCAAACTGCATTATTTCTACAGTGCAGATGCACTTTAAGTTCAAACAATTTGAAATAGGTTCATGTTGGCACATTTTATCTAAATGCTCTCCATTTAGGTATGTCATTGTAGAGGCTTCTCAAGGAAACTTTCAGGGGTTGCCATGTTGGTCAAGCAGCAAAATCCAACAAAATACAATGCCAAAGCATAAAATACGTAATGCAAGCTCTTTGCCTGATGAAGAAGCCAGTGAAGTTTTGAAAGTGTTTTATGCTTTGGAGCTGGCTTAATAAGGCATTGTTACTTGTAGATTTTCAATTTTGTTATATTTAGTCTCCTCAAGGGCCTCACATTATTCTGCCTCCAAAGGGACTTTTAGCATCACACAGGACAGATATGAGATGCTCGTAAAGGAATTGCCTTTGTTTCTAACAATAAGGGGAAATGCCTACTGCCTTGTCTTTGTGGCTTCTAGGGACAATTCAGGCTTGATTTGTTCTTAAGACTCATTGATTTTTCTTTTCAGCAGTTCAGGTTATCTGCAGAACTCTTCTCTGGAACCACATTTCAAACAAGTTAATCTTCTTCCTATCAGCTTTCTTCAATATCCAGCTTTCGCAACCAGACAAGGAAACTGGAAATATCTTGGTGTGGATACTTCTGAGTTGGGTATTTGAAAATATAAATAGCTTTTTGATACCCATACATAGGGATTTATAGTTTTGTGAGGCACCAACAAGCTTTGGAAGAAAAGGCTGAAGACCTTGTAAAACTACAACTCCCAAGCTTCCATGGGAGGAGCTACAGTACTTTAAGTGGCATCAAACTGCATTATTTCTACAGTGTCGATGCTCCCTTGGGATAGCTGGAAAAGACTGGTGATCTTCTGGAATTATTTGGGCAGCCAAGAGCTTTCCAACAGTTTGCTGCCCTCGGTGATATTTTTTTCTGATCTGGTGTGAAATTTTACATTGGGAAACCTTTTGCAAACATCCATGAGTACTATCACAACAGGCCATTGGTTACAAACTACATTTATAGCTTTTAAAATTGACATGGGGAGGAGCAGGGGCAGATGATATAAGTGGCCACTCTAAACAGGAGATTATAGGAATTGTACTCCAAAAAAATTCATACATCCAAACTCTTGCTTCTCTGTCTCTACTTTCTGCCCTTGTATTTTAAATGGAAATAAAGCAAGAACATTTGCCTTGTTATCATGATTGGACTCTGTGATTCTATAATTCAGCTGGAAACATTCTAATGCATTCAACATCCTTGGGATATCAGTCCATTTGCATTATACAAGGAACCACATAAAATTCAAAAGTACATTTTATGCATGCTAGCAAAGGTTTATTTATTTATTTATTTATTTATTTATTTATTTATTTATTTTTATCCCACCTTTCTCCCAAAGTGAGACCCAAGGTTGGCCCATCTCCTCCTTGCCCTGCAGCCCTGATAGTTTATTTGATTGAAGAGTATCCTCCAGCAGGAGATAGTGAATTAAAGGAAAGAACTCAAGATAGAAATCTGATTTTAAAAAAGATTACAAATTAAAACA